TAAACCCCAAACCCTAAGCCCTAAACCCTAAACCCTAATTTCGGAAACCCCCCCAAGATGAGTGCACCTGCTCAGCGGCGATGCCGGCAGACCGCAGCATCAGCAGAAGCTCCTGCAGCGCCATACTGCAAGCCATAAGCCTTTTTGGGGGTTTAGGGTTTAGGGTTTAGGGTTTAGGGTTTAGGGTTTAGGGTTTAGGGTTTAGGGTTTAGGGTTTAGGGTTTAGGGTTTAGGGTTTAGGGTATGTCAGCAGTCTGCCGAGGTATTCCGAGCGTAGGCATAGGCTGTCAAGTAGGCTAGTAGGACGGCCTGGATTTTTTGGATGACCTTCTTTCTGTGCAGACCCGAACCCCGGCGCTTGCACCGAAACCCACCGCATAGCCACCTAGACATCCAGGCAGCCCTCCACAGACCCGTACGCCGCAACCTGCACGCATCGAAAAAACCCTAAACCCTGAACCCTGAACCCTGAACCCTAAACCCTAGCCCCCCCCAAAATACCCAGTAGGCTACCTCAAGTATGTAAAGTGAGCAAACGGAGATGGTCTTTTCGTCATGCCTCAGATATGGGCAGTTCTCTAGTTTTGGGGTTTAGGGTTTAGGGGCTAGGGTTTATAATAGGGTTTAGGGTTTAGGGGGAGAGGCGGAGGGGGGGGGTTCCCTTTTTTGGGGGTCCTTACTTAATTAAAGATCCGGCAGCCTAAACGGGAGCCTGCTAGAGATGACCACTGCTCTCAGGAGTACGGTTGCGACCATATAACGAAGTCATGATCTGTAACGACTCGAGGATGGCCATTTCATTTTACTTTCAACCTGTCGATAACCATCCCATCCGAACTAAAGCTGACCAAATCGCATAAGCAGCAACCTATAAACTCAGCTCTCATTAGCAGCTGATGAGCGTGACTTGTCTTGGGGCCAAGGCTTCTCCAACTCTCGTGCGCATAGGTTTTGGTGTATATGCAAATTTCAAACATTGCTCGCGTCACTTCTCTTTGGCAACTAATGTATCAGAACACATATGTCTCACGCCAGCACTGCGAACAACGATGCAAACATGGCTGCAAGCAGGGCCTTACTTGGAGGTTCATCGGTAGTTAGAAGGGATTATAAGTGAGATAACTATAGTTATACAAGTTATACAAGTGGTTATAACCTAATTTATGTACTTGTAACCCTACTTATACCTACCCATGAACCTTTCAGTAGGCCGTTGTGCATGGCCGTTTCAAACGTCTCTTGGGTCTGCCTGGATTCAGTAATGTCGTATGCACGCTTCGCACAACCATATGGGGGTTTACAAAAAATAGGGGACCCCCGACATAGATCCCCAAACAGTAGGATCCCCTTACAATAGGGACGCCAATACTACTGATTGCTTAAGAACCCCAAAAAATTTTCAACACTCCTTATTAAGGGTAATGTAGGGAATATTATTTGTTGTTCGTTTGGGGTGATTAAGCGAATAGTAGAATAAGGCCCCCCCCTCCCCCCCAATTTGTATAAAGTGTCCAAGCCGAGATCTCCGAGCCTCGAAATCAAAACCAAAAGACGAGTCGGTTCTTCTGATTTTGCTCCCGATGAGGCATGGGGGTTTCGGGTTGCGGGTTTCGGGTTTAGGGTTAGGGGGGGTAGGTCCTTTGAAAAGGCAAATTCTAGTCTACTTGGCATAACGGGTACACCCCTGTTTGGGGGAAGTGTCCGCATACTCTCAGGGCCACCGTCCTCGGCCACGCGCGCATGGTTCAGACCGACATTCACATCCTGGAGGCCCTGGAGAGGGAGCCGCCATCGTCAGTCTATGGAATCGAGGAAGGCAGCTGTCGTATTGACGTGTTCTATTGCCGTCATGTTACAGTGCAGCACAGCACTGGTCGTGCCCTTTGCGCAGCCATTGATAGAAGTGATCCTACTTTTGCCACTGCGTTACTACCTCCGAGCGGCTATCCCTTACATCTCAGCCTGAAGAATCGACTGCACCACGGCATTCTCCTTTGTGCCGGCTCGCGGTGCCTGTCTTGGCAGACTATGAGTTCTGCCCCTAAAGTGGCGATTTTCAGCGTCAAGCTGTGCTTCAGTGGGAAAAATTTCGGGGCTTTTGCTGAATCATGGGGTGGGCGTGTTTTTCCTCGCCGTGGCTGAAGGGACCTGTCGAAAGCCCTGGCTGACTACGTTGTCCACTGTGTATGGCCTGTAGCCATTGTCTAAGCAAAAACACGGCAACCGTCCGGGGCGCTTGCTTTTTCTCCTTCATTTGGCCATGTGTGGTACCATAAGCTATTCGACTGGAAGGAAAACGGTGTACTATGTTGGAGCCCACGACTCAGAACAAACCCCCCCGGCCTCCCCCTGCCTTTCCTGGGGTTTGAACCCTAAACGCTAAACCCTAAACTCTAAACCCTTTGCTTTAGGAGCTCTTAGGGTCCTACTGAGTAGAAACGGGCCTTGGGTCGTTCGGCAGCCTTTGGTGGCGGTGGAGGGAGGCTCTCACCTCAGGAGTTTCAATATGGGTGGACTTAGGGTCTAGGGTTTAGTGTTTAGGATTTAGGGGTTAGTGCTTAGGGTTTAGGGTTTAGGATTTAGGGTTTAGGGTATACGGTACGGCACCGTTATAATCAGGACCCCAAAAAGGGACCCTAAGTTAGGGAACTAACCATACTGCTACTAAGACAGACGGTCGTTGCTGCTAATTTTCTGACTACATGCAAGTTTCCAGTATTGTAGCTTTTCCTCGTATCGTACAGTAGCTTTTCCTCGTGCTACGTATGCATTGCAATAATCATCTTGCTTATATCAAACTACGCCGACATGGCCAGCAACGATGCTTTCTGCCGTAAACTTCGTAGATTTCTTATATTATATTGCTTATCGTCTGCAGTATTTTGACTCCTGCCGCAGTAGGTTCACCCTGTTCTCTCTGAAGCAGTCACGCGCGCTTGTCAACCCCCATATCAACCTATAAAATTGGTGTTTTGAAGGGATTAGAGGACAATGACCCATCCTGGCACATCTTAACCCAATATGCCAGAAGCCTTTCCGGGCTCCCAGCTGGGCAAGAAGACGCGCTGTGCACGCTCCTTGCACGGAGTAGTAGCTCGGTCGGGATAGCTCTGACGAGGTTGGCCCGTTCATAAACCCTCTGAGAAACACGTAGGGTTTACGAAAACAAGGGAACCCCAAAAAGTAGGATTCCCTTACAACGAGGACCCAAAGCAGGTGCCCGTAACTTCGGACATGCCGAGGTTCCAAATAGGAGCCCCAAATTCCAAAGAGGAGCCCCACTAGGCTGCCCAGCAACCAAGGCCTAAAAAGGGGTGCCCTTTCTTGCTTAAAGGGGTTTATAAGGGAACCTAAACCCCCCAAAAAGGGAATAAGGGTACTACTGGGCAGCCCAAATTCCAAAGAGGAAAAAGGTCGACCTTGTTGGAGGGTGTCGCTGTGGCGTGCTTCGAACCCGAGCAAGTCTCTCTCTTCTGTACACTCCGCGAACGTCACAGTATCAGAGGCCCTCACGTCCTAACCCCATGAATCCTAAACCCTAAACCCTAAGCCCTAAACCCTAAACCCTAAACCCTAAACCCTAAACCCTAAACCCTAAACCCTAAGACGCACGCACCACGTGGTCCTTGAAAGCCACGAAGCCGAGAAGATGTTCCAAATGTCTCCTCCCCGAGGCCTGGGGTTCCTGGAGCTGGGCCCTGAACCCGGAATCCTAAATTTAGGGTTTGACGGTTTAGGGCATCGGTTTCCTAAACCCCAATCCGTCGGTTTCGTAAAACCCTAAACCCTAAACCCTAAAGCCAAAACCCTAGGCCCTAGTGTAGCGGCCTTCGGAATGCTCTGAGTGGGAGCCTGTGGCCTTGCATTGGTACCCTTGGGCTGCCGGGACATACGTGCAACGTGCGGTTTCTAGGGTTCAAGGTGTTTAGGGTTTAGGGTTTAGGGCTTAGAGTTTTTCAGGGTGTAGGGTTTCATGCTTGTTTTGTTTTTTTTCAAGGGCTTAGGGTTAAGGTGTTGAGGGTTTGAAGGGCTTCCAGTTCGGGCTTAAGGTACAGGGCTAGGGGCTTCTAGGGTTCAGGGCAGGGGCCTGTCGAGCTGGCATGGGTACCGGGCTGAAACTCTGAGATCTTTCATGAGTTCATGTCATCGACTTTATGCTAGACATGTTCATGTGGGAATGAACAAACTTGGCTGCACTTGGCAGGGTAGCTAGAAAGTTAATTTTTAGCTGCCTTATTAAGAAACCCAATAAATCCAAAAAGGCTAAGGATCTAAAGCTACAGCAAACCCCCACAGAGTAATCGGGGATGGTGTTGAACTTTTTTTGGTGGGCTCCTGTACTGTGGTGCTCGACATTGCGGGTCCTCGCCCGGCGCTGCCTTTGAGTGCCGGTCGACCTCTGTCTTCGATTCCTGATGAGGGTTTAGGGTTTAGGGTTTAGGGTTTAGGGTTTAGGGTTTAGGGTTTAGGGTTTAGGGTTTAGGGCTTACGCCCTGTGAAGTTCTGAACGACGGAGCAGTACGTCACTGCGCAGCCAGTTAGCCCTGTGCTTTGGCGGTGGTGCCTAGAACCCAAAGATCGCTTCAAACAGGGCATCGAGACCAGATCCGGAAAGAAAACCCAAACCTTGCCAAGGGTGGGCCTTCAGCACGCCCTCATGAGCCGGCTCCTTTGAGACCGCCTAGGCGCTTTGGCACGTGGATTTCGGGGCCATCTATGGCCGGGTAAGGGGCAACATGTCCCTGACATCCGCAGGAGCTTTTGCTGCGTAACGCTCTGTGCTTCTTTGCGCCTTTGCAGTCGCTCGCCCGGCGGCCACTACTACGGCCGGGAGGTCCAGCACAACATGCCCGGCGCCATGATCACAACGCGGGACTACGACATATGTGCTCTCTTGCAGAATCAAACAGGGGATTTCCCAACATAGGGGCACCCGTTCTGGGGTTCCTCTGACAAGGACCCCCGCCCCCCCTTATGTTGGAAAATGCCCAACTCTGCGGTCAGGGCATCTTGGGTGCTGTTCCTTCTGCGTGTGCCTCAGCTTCGACCAGTGTCAGCGCCAGTGCTGCAGCAGTGCGAATCTGATCTTGCCGAGAGAGTGGAAGCGCCATCTTCTCGTACCATCTCTGGCAGAAGTCACCGATTTCCTGAGGCAAGGACCAGGTCGCTTGATAGAGGAGTCTGAAAAAAAACCTACCAATACACTCCCCCTGTGACTCATGTGTAAATACTATGCATGCACTATCCTAATCACCCTCTCGAACTACACCACAGGTAAATTCAGACCCCTAGCCAAACATCACTGAAGCTCTCCGAGTCTCTGCATTCGACGACCCGGCGCACTTCATCTTCTGAATCTCTTGCAGCGGATATGGCCGGCCTGCAAGACGCAAAAGGGGCCGGCAAAACTCACTTCCCCGAAGCCCTAAGCCCACAACAAAAGCAACTGAAGCCCAACATGCCCTCAAGTATTTTTAGGACCCAGAGTTTGGGGTATAGAGGTGTTGGCTCAATTCTATACTGGCTACACGATACTGACCAGCCCCAGGCCTACTGCTTGGGATGTAGGGCTTCAAGGAGGGTTTAGGGTTTGGATTTAGGGGGCGTAGATATAATATCTGCATCTGCCCAGAAAGCCCGAAGAAAGAGCCCAAATAGTAGGACTCCCTTATAAGAGGGCCCCAAGAAGGCACCCCCCCCCAATGTCGGAAACCACCAAATTTTCAATCACAAATGCCAACCAGTTCAAAGACACAATACTGGGGGTCGGAGTAGATAATCATGATACTACCCCCCACCCCCCCCAAGACCCTCGTCTAACTCTTCCTAAACCCTAAACCCTAAACCCTAAACCCTAAACCCTAAACCCTAAACCCTAACCCCCAACCCCTAAACCCTAAACCCTAAATTCTGATTAAGGGCCCCTCTATTTCTCCAAAGGATGGCGTCCTTGGCTGAAGTTTACGCCTTGCTTTCCGTCGCAGGCCCTCTCCACGATCCTGGGGCTCGAGATGCTCAAAATCTGGGAAGGTTTAGGGTTTAGGGTTTAGGGTTTAGGGTTTAGGGTCTAGGGTTTAGGGTTTAGGGTTTAGGGTTTAGGGTTTAGGGTTTAGGGTTTAGGGTTTAGGGTTTAGGGTTTAGGGTTTAGGGTTTAGGGTTTAGGGTTTAGGGTTTGGGGCTGCAAAAAGCTTCAGATTTCACGAGTGCGGCTTGGAGCTCCGAATCATGGTTGTTCTTACGTGCCTCCTTGAGCCCGCTACGAAGTCGAAAACAGCAGTTCCGAATAAAGCACTGCTCCCCCACTCGGAGGGTTTAGGGTTTAGGGTTTAGGGTTTAGGGTTTAGGGTTTAGGGTTTAGGGTTGACTTCTTCCGGGGGTGGGAGTGTGCAGCCCAGGTTCACGCAGGCCACATCTAGGGCCATGGTGGAGTCATGCCGCAGGAGGGCGCAGACACCGTTCCTAGGGTTTCGGGTTTAGGGTTTAGGGTTTAGGGTGGTTTAGGGTTTGGGGTTTCGGGTGTAGGGCTAGATGTCTCCGGGGAGGCTTACAATAAGTCCAGTCAGCCCTGAATATGCCTTGCGCAGGGAATGTGGGCCCATGGACGCATTTCCTCGACAAGATTCTCAAGCTCAAGAGCTTGAAAGGCCTGACGCGCGCCCTCAACCTACAACCTCAGTTTGCAAAAGGGGGGGGGGGGGGGCGGTTGTTCTCTAAATCCGGGTCCCTTCTTGTGGCCCTAAACCCTAAACCCTAAACCCTAAACCCTAAACCCTAAACCCTAAACCCTAAACCCGAAACCCTAAACAATTTGGGCCAGGGATCTCGGCGCTTGCGTAGTAGTCTGCCGTAGCTCCTCCCAGGCCGCGCCGGCTGTGGGGATCCCAAACTCTGAGGTTTAGGGTTTAGGGTTTAGGGTTTAGGGTTTAGGGTTTAGGGTTTAGGGTTTAGGGTTTAGGGTTTAGGGCTTAGGGCTTAGGGTTCCCCCCCCCTAAGCAGCAAACCCACACATGGGGTTTAGGGTTTTAGGGCTTTAGGGTTGTCGGGTTTTAGTAGGTTTTAGTAGGTTTTAGGGTTTTTGGTTTTCGGTTTCGGGTTTAGGTGGTTTCCTCTTTCCCAACTCTAAACACCTGGAAGAGCTTTTTCTTTTGAAGGAACTCTTCGAAGCCCCTCTCCTGACGATTTGAGGTTGGCCAGCCGGGCAAGGGCACCTTCATACCTGGCCATAGCAAGCAGCCTCTAGACCCAGGAGGGTCGCTAGGAATCAAAAGGGTGCCCATTTTGGTCTAAAGGGTCGCAAGGGAACCCAAACCCTAAAAGAAGGGACTAAGGGCATACTCTGGGTCCTAGGCCTTGTATCATTTCAGGTTCCGGCGAGTTCTGGCGGAGCTTACTGTAGGCTTTTGGTTCAGGACTTAGGGTTTAGGGGTTATAGGGCTTAGATCTTTTAAGGCTTCTAACGGCTTGCTTCCCAACTTCCTAGCAAGGCGCGTGTGCTGCATACCCCACGGCTGGCCGTGCGGAATTCCGCTGTCTGCCGGACAGGGCACGACGCTGATCGAAGGCGACCGCCCCTCTTTCGCGAAGTGACCTTGGGATGTGGAGCCGCTCAGGAGTTACATAACTGTAGTTATAACCGTACTTATAACTATATTCGGGCACTTTAAGGGGCTTATAAGTGGGTTGTAAGTACAGTTATGCTTGGATGAGAAGTGCCATGAACCTCCAAGTAGAACCCTTCTGCCCCAGAACCCGCAGCTGCTGAAAACCAGCATGAAATGAGGCGCGTGCAGTGTCCCGAGAGATAGAAGTAGTGATGGCTGCAGGAGTAAAAAGTAAATAAGAGAACAATGCTGATAAGATAAGGCTTCATGACTTTGTATGTAGTAGCTGATCAAGATATCGAGATACCCGTTGCCAAAATGACCTTCCCCAAGAAGAACCTATAGATCAGCCCCCCCCCCCATGTTTGCATTCAGCTGCACTTACACAACTGCGCCGCCACTTCGCAACCTTATTCAGAGTCCCTTGGCAACAGAGCCGCTGGAAAATGCAGACTCGATGGCTGCAAGCTTGTCAGGGTTGGCCGACGTCACCGCCACGGTGCAGGAAAACGCCGACGCAGCATCTTTGAAAACAGAGGCCATGAACTTGCAAGGGCATGAGCTTGAGCAATTCCGGCTGAAGCGTGCCTGGAAAGACCATCCAAGACCCACGCAACCCTGACCCCGCATCGGAAACTGCGGAAACGTGCGGCAGTGTTCAAAGATTGCCCCCGCCCATATCGGACCTTGAATCTTGAACCATCAAATTCCCCTCTCCCTGAAAGCCTATAAACCCTTCAAACCCCCCCCCCCCCCCCCCCCAGGCTTTTGGTTCTTGGGGTTTTGGAAAACATCCGCGCTGCAAGCCGGAACGTTCAACCAAGGGTTTAGGGTTAATAGGGCTTCGGGCCATAAGCCCGAATGCATCACATGACCCTCTGTGTGGAACTTGAAACCATCTGCGCGACTGTTGCGCGTGACAAGCCGAGCTTTTGGCGGGGCCACTGCGCCTGGTTTTCGGGTTTAGGGTTTAGGGTTGCTGGAGTAAGGGTCCGTTCCAGAACTTTTGGGGGGCCTCAGTTCGGTGGGCAACTCGTTTTCTACAATAGGTGGTTGTAGGACAGTGAACCACGTCTTTTGAAACACCTAGACTGGTAGCTAAAGAAGCTTTCCGCGTGCACTCAGAGTCGTGGTAGTCGTGGGCTTTCCGGAGTTGCACAGGGAGCCCTTCATACGAGCAAGCTTGAGAGAGAAGCGTGTGAGCGGTGCTGCAGGACTTCTTCACCGGCACTAGAACTTCTGGTGCTCTTAGCGTTGAAGCGCTGAGACATCGCCGTGTCAACGCTGGATGCAAAGCCGAGAGTGAACAGCTAATCTTTCCTTTTCATGGTTCCAAAACTCTTCCCAACAGCACTATGAAACCATACGGTGCAGTCAGAGAAGGGTCAGGGCTAGGGGCGAAGCCCCCCGTTTTCAGCATCACGTCAGTGTTTCGGGATTAGGATGATTTCAGGTTCCTAAACCCTAAACCCTAAAACCCCAAAACCCCTGAAGCCTGACTCTTACTGGAAGGGTCTGGGTGTCCAGGCGGCTTGCGAGGGGGTCGAGCTGTGGTCTGCGCCTCCATTTGCACCTCAGGATCAAGGTCCGTGGGGCTTTTGGGCCCCTTGTCCCTGGTAGAGTTGAGGTTTAGGGTTTAGGGTTTAGGGTTTAGGGTTTAGGGTTTAGGGTTTAGGGTTTAGGGTTAGGGTTTAGGGTTTAGGGCTTAGGGCTTAGGGTTTAGGGTTTACGGGCCTCAGCCCTACTCGGAGGTTCATGGGTTGTTATAAGTGGAACCTTCAAGTAGGCCAAGTAAACCCTAAACCCTATAAACCCCCCCTCAAACCCCATAAGGGAACAAGGGCCTACCTAGCCATTCCTTCGGCGTCTCTTATCCACCGCCTCAGTTCCTGAAAGCTGGGGATGACAAACTTCAAAAGACCTTGCAGGGTTTAGGGTTTAGGGTGTAGGGTTTAGGGTTTAGGGTTTAGTGTTTAGGGTTCCCGTGCAGAAGACAGTGCTTCATGGCAGTTGGGCACCTCTTCCAATGCCTGGCACTGCGGAGCAAGACTGTGCTCAACCCCAGCATAGGGGCCTAATAATAATTAGAACGGGGTTTTGGGGGGCTATTATGTATTTATAAAGGGGCCACAAAGGAATCCTCTTAGTAATAATTATTCCGACCCCTATATTACTTCCAAAACCCCGAAGCCCCGACACCCAAAGCCCTGGCGCACCTCCTGAAGATGAAGCGACCGCAGCTCTTCAGGAACCTTGCCGGGAGCCTCAGGTCTCGTCTTCCATGGGGGGTTTCTTAGACTTCCAGGGTTTAGGGTTTAGGGTTTAGGGTTTAGGGTTTAGGGTTTAGGGTTCAGCATCTCCAGTTCAAGCATTCACTTGTCAAGCTCGCTACTCTGGTATCGAATATATACCCACCCACCCTTTGGATCCCATAACATTAGAAAAAATTTATTTTTAACGGACCCAAAACCCGAAATCTAATCTAAGGCCCACAATAAGCCCTTTATGCTCTTAGGGCCCTAAACCCTACGGTTTAGAAGCCCCTATCGGTGAAGGCTCGGTTTTGGTCAAAAGTCCAGCCACCCAGAATCCTGGGGTCCCCCTCATTTGGGGTGTTTTTGGAGGCAAACTTTCCCTCTCAAGGGGGGGGGAGTTTGAGGCAAGGGTGGGGTTTCCGAAGACTATTTACCTTTAAAATTGAAAAATACGACCCCCCCTTGACCAAAACTAGGCTGTGGTCACGGGGGCCCTTCATCAGAATTGAAGGTTAAAAGCCCTGAAACACACTGAAAAAAATATTGAAAAACCTTAAAGAACAAGAGCCCACCCAGAACCGTCGATTTCAGTACTAAAAAAACGCATTTTAACTGGGACCCGGGCCGATCCCGGGGTCCCCCTCAGGGAGGGCCTCATTTGGGGTGTTTTTGGAGGCAAACTTTCCCTCTGAGACAGAGGAGGGGTCTCCGAAGACTATTTTGCCTTTAAAATTGAAAAATACGACCCCCCCTTGACCAAAACTAGGCTGTGAAAAGGTCGCGGGGGCAGTCCTTCATCAGAACTGAAGGAAAAATCCTGCAACACCCGGAAAAACATTGAAAAACCTAAAAAAACACTGAAAAACTCTGAAAAAACCTTGAAAAACAGTGAAAAACTTGAAATTCTGAAACCGGTGAAGGCTCGGTTTGGTCAAAAACCCAGAAAACGAGAGCCCGCCCAGAACCGTCGATTTCAGTACAAAAAAATCGCATTTTTAATTGGGACCCGTGCCGATCCTGGGGTCCCCCTCATTTGGGGTGTTTTTGGAGGCAAACTTTCCCTCTCAAGGGGGTCGGAGTTTGAGGCAAGGGGGGGTCTCCGAAGACTATTTTACCTTTAAAATTGAAAAGTACGACCCCCCTTGACCAAAACTAGGCTGTGAAAAGGTCGCGGGGGCGGCCCTTCATCAGAATTGAAGGTTAAAAACCCTGAAATATCCTGAAAAACATTGAAAAACCTCGAAAAACACTGAAAAACTCTGAAAAGACTTGAAAAGACTTGAAAAACTTTGAAAAAACTCGGGGACCATTGCCCACTTTTGAAGCCCAAAGTCACCGTTGCCCACTTTTGAATTAGGGTTTACATTCATTATGATGGAGAGGTTTAGGGCACGAGTACCCCAAGGTGGCTCAGAGAAGTGGAAGTTTACCTACTCGACTTCTGCGAAAGGCTTTGGATGTCGTGACTTGTGCTCTAGGGTGTACTCTAGGGTCGGGGGGCATGTCGGATATGAGAGTGCCAGGTCTACTTTCGGGTTCAAGGTCGAGGTTTCTATCTGTTTATCTATGGCCCGTTGATTTGGTGCTTCCACCCAAGCCTATGCGAACTTTTCAGACGTCGACAAGGATCTTTGACCTTCGAACCATGCGACACGAACCTTGACTCTCGAGACTCACCCCGAACTCTGGCTGTGTGTGCAGGTGAATGGAGGAGTAGCTTCCTCAAACCCTATAAACCCTATAAACCCTGCAAACCCTATCCCTATAAACCCGATAAACCCCATAATCCCTGGAGTAGCTTACTTAAACCCTATGAACCCTAAACCCTGCACCCTAAACTCATCTGAAACCTGAACACCCCAAAAACCTAGCCCAGGCCCTGTCCCCACCTGTCGCACGGCCAATAGCTGGCTCCGGTCATACCGCTCCTGCCGCTACTATTTTCATAAGAATTCAAGAAATAGAAATCTGCCGAGGTCTGGGGCCGAAGGTTTAAAGGTTGTCCCCCCCTTGCCCCCCCACGCTGCCACCCCCCCCACGCTGCCCCCCCCCCCCCCGCCCCTGAGCCCCCGCTTTTGCTTGAGGAACCTTGAACCCTAAACCCAAAAACCCAAACCCCAAACCGTGAACCTTGAGCCCTATATAAGCCCTCAGCCCTAAACTGACCCTCAACCCCAAACCCCAAACCATAAACCATAATCCCGGAACCCTAAACCCTAAACCCTAAACCCTAAACCCTAAACCCTAAACCCTAAACCCTAAACCCTAAACCCTAAACCCAACCCTTATTGCTTGAGGGTTCCTAAGAAAATAGTAGGCAGCTGGGCGATCATCGAGTCGCACGAATACATTTGACTGTGGGAGCTTCCGAAACTAGGAGTACCTTCTTGGGGTCCATATTATCTACCATTTGGGGACATATATATAGATATATTTATTTATTTGTTTTTTAATTATTTTCTTTGGGGGGGCCCCCAAGTCATAAGCTTCATTGTATTTTGTGAGGTTCTGTAAGCTTTTCGAGTTTGCCACTTATGTGCAAGATGAGGTGTTGCAAGTGTCAAGCGAGCACGGGCTGAACCCTTCGGCAAACCACTGAGGCAGGCTTCACAGGCATCGCATCATACGAGTATGATGAGTTTTTGTTAACCCTAGACCCTAAACCCTAGACCCTAAACCCTAAACCCTAATTCTCTAATCAGTCTTGTTTCAGTATTCCTTGCAAGAATGCGACAAGAACATTGCGCATGGACTCCCGCGGCGGCTGCGTCGCATACCAAATCCTTGTCGGCTCAGGACGCTGGACGAACTTTCTAAAGGGTCACTCACTGAAGGTATGGGAAACCCAGACAGAGATGATGGACCAGGTGCTTGAAGGTTCATGGGTAGTGATGCGTGGGTTAGGAGTAAGGCTATTGCTGGTTCTGACCTTATGTAGGGTACTGCTGACCCTACTTACAACTGCCCATGAACCTGCAAGTATTGGGGAGGAGGTCATCGCTCCAGCGGATGGTGCATGTTGAGATTGCCAAGGACTTGCTTGTGAGAAGATCAAGGCAGCTCATGGACACACAGACACACACACACACAGACACACGGAAAAATACTAAGTGTGAGAGCTGAAAACAAAAAGGCAGCAGCTTCAAGCAGTTGTGAAAACCCACCGCTTCAAAAACTCCTATGGCTCCAGAACCGCACACGTTGCGGTCGTAGGAAACCCTAAACCCTAAACCCTAAACCCTAAACCCTAAAGCCTAAAGCCTAAAGCCTAAAGCCTAAAGCCTAAAGCCTAAAGCCTAAAGCCTAAAGCCTAAATCCTAAACCCAAAGCCAACCGAAACCGAAGCAACCTTGTCCATCTGCAGCCCAAAAGCAG